AGTAGTTTCTATAAATAAGTCACTCTGTCACAAACCCAATTCTAAAGCTACAGTTTCATGTAATATTACAACCATGACTGATGTCAAGAAGTTTTCAATCACTACTCTAGTGCCATAAAAAGAAATCTAACAAGGGGTTGTCTTTAAATCCATTGATATTCAAATATCATAGTGAAAAAAACTTTCAATCTCTCCTCTCCAGTGCTGTAGAGTAGGGAAAAAATGGGAAGAACTAAAATTAAATCAGAATTTCAAGAAAGTAGGCTTCTCAGAGACACTAAAGTGTGTATGCACAAAATAAGTCAGGGAAACAGAGAGTGAAACATTGTCACAAACAGGGGACAGAACCTCAACAAAGAAGTACCCAGAGGAGAGTCTAAAGCCAGAAAAACCTGCAAGCTGCTGAATGCTCTGCCCGTGTCTTCTTTTACAAGACCCTACCTAGACTCATCTTCCCTAAGCCAGTCAGAACACTTCCAACCCTCTCATTTTCCCATTCATTCTCTCATCTCTCCAGCTGTTTCTGTGTCCATTATACATATATACATATACACATATGTAACGGAAAGGCATTTTTCTAATAACTAATTGAGTTTACATTTCTCCCTGTGATGCACATGATTAGGAAACTGAGTAACAGAGAAATGTAAGATATGGGAGAACTGGCATCATGAGACAAGACTGAAATGAACAGACACTGATGCCACTGGGTTATGTGACAGATCACCCCATCACCTTTACCAGTTTCTTCCTCTACAAAATAGACCACTGCCTGCCTCACATGGATTGTTCTTCCATTTCTCCCATGGAGTTTGCTAAACCAGGAGGTGCTAAGGATAAGGAAATATAATATAGGATTAATCTTAAAGCAATGTCATTAAACCTCTTCAGCCAAAGGTATATATGCTTCAGATGTGTTATTTCTCTGTTAACAGGTTAAAAACTGGCAACAATGGAGAGTTTTGAACAGCAGAGACACAGCACAAATAACATTTTCTTCTGCTGTAATCAGAAGGATGTGGAGGGGAAAAAGGAATCAGAGTTGGAGTTTAACAAATATGACACATGATGTTTCAGATGGACAAAGTCACCTTTGTTTCCCCAATTATCTCCATTCCATGTGTGATGAATCTCTCCTCCATCTTCTCTTATCCATCAGTGATGAGACTCTCCACTTTGTAGCTCTGACCTATTGCTCCCATTGTATGGTTTTTCTTGATAGCTGATTGAGCCAAAGGCACCATCTTGGTCAGATACAAAATAGGACTCAAAAACTATAGAACTCTTGGGTGACTCTTTAAGCTTACCTAGCTAGTGAAAGCTGTGGGTAAGTCAATTATGCATCATTCTTTAATTCACAAACTGGCAGACTGGATGGAAATGACAGACAGCTCTCTCAAACAGTTAATGACATCAGGGAATTCAGATTTCATTACAGATGGCTGGCAGTAGAGAACAAATTTTGAGTTGTTATCAAAATTAAACACCTGCCAATGAATGATTGGACCTATCAAGTGGCTAATCAGAATAATCCCTTCTGTAGTCAATCATATGCTACATTATACACTTTTGATATTGCAGAACTCTCTGGACTTACCCCCTTGAGTGGTCTGTCAAGCAGAAGTATAAACAGGTATGACTGTTCATGCCTTGAGTCTTAGGAGAATTAATTAGCACCACAAATATAAATGGGTCTCCCTCTCCTGCTGAAACACTTCTTACCACTGTAGGGACAAAGCCACAGATCTCACAAGACATGGTGGCACTTGTCTGTAATTCTAGCAGGTTGAAGGTAAATGCAGGAGAATTGTGAATCTGAAGCTAGCCTGGGTATATAGCAAGACCGTGTGTCAAAAACTAAATAAACTGTAGCATAGTCTCCAAAGGCCCCCATGATCTTGTCATGGCTAACCCTCTCTTTAGCCTCATCTTTTCTTACTTTTTTATTTTGTTCCCCACAATAGTTTTTAGTCATTGTAACAACTGAAATAATTCCCTTATAGAGGAATAAAGGATTTGCACATTTGAATGTATAAATAGTTGACCCATTGGTGTGTAACAGCTCTTAGCAGGAACATGGAACAGAACAAAGCCCTCTAAACTCCTGGCTGGGATATGAAAAACAGCCTAGATCCCCTTGAGGGCACACTCCCAGCATCTCAAAACCTTCTGTTAACCAGTGCTTCCATGTTAGTTACTTTTCTGTGGCTATGACAAATCACCAGGATCAAGGCAACTTTGAGACTCCACCAGCTCCCACTAGCACTAAACTGAGGCCACATCTTTATCAGAGAGACCTTTAGAGGTAATTTTGTATCAAAACTACAGTATTCACAAGCTCCACCCATACTACCGTCTTCTCTCTTCTCCAAACCAAGCCTATTCATGCCGTTTTGTCTGTTCTTTCCCACCCTTATCACCTTCAACCCTTTTTAGTGCTCCTCTACAGGTGTCAGGTAAAGCTCCATCTCCTCAGGTTTCCCCAAGTCACTCTCACCAGCTCCTCTACTTCTCTACCACTGCCAATTGTGGCTGAATACCTAATTTATGTCTTTCTGCTCCAATGGATGCTGAGAGTGAGCATACTACATCTATCCATATATCCCTAACACATACCATAGTGCCTGCCACCAAGCAGAAATCCATATGAATTTTCTAAATGAGTGAATGATGGATGGATGTGTGGGTTGTTAGTAGGGTGGGTGGTAGTGTGGATGGGTGGATAGATGGATGATGGATGGGTGGATAGATGGATAGATGGATGAGTAGATGGATTGGTAGGTGGGTTAGTGGGTGGGTGGGTGGTAGGATGGATAGATGAATGGATGATGGATGGGTGGATGATTTGGTGAGTGGGTGAGTGGGTAGGTGAGTGGTAGGATGGATAGATGAATGGATGATGGGTGGGTGGATGATTTGGTAGGTGGGTGAGTGGGTAGGTGGTAGAATGGATGGATGGATGGATAGTTAGATGGATAGATGGGTGGGTGGATGGATAGATGAACAGATGAACAAATGGATGATTTCAAGCTGATTTGGTGCTAAGGCCATTGAGTCATCCAGAATTACTTAATATCAAGAGAACATTTGAGATGTCCATTCTCACCCTCATCTGAGCCTCCTTTTCTGTAAGCATGTATATCTTTCGATACTATTCTTCCTGAGGGAGGAGTGAATGTGAGGTAACCCAACCTTCTGATTCTCAGATGAAGGACTTTGAGGATCCTTGGACTTTACACATTTTTCAAAGGAAGGGCACCACAGTAAACAACCCTCTGTGCTCATGGGAACCATGCATATTGAGGGCATAGCGGGCCACTGATAGAAAGATATTCTTAAAATTCTTGCCCTGCTTTCTTGTGGAAGGCTCACGGATTTGTAGTGGCCACAGCATTGAAGAGAGGCGATGTGGTGGAGCATATGCTGCACAGAGAGGTGGCATGGTGGCATGGAAGAGAGCGCTGGGCAGTATTCAGCATTTGGCATTGCTTACTGGCTGTGTGGATCTAAGTTTTGGTCTCAGTCCGGCTAAAAATCCATGCTTGTAAAATTAAGCAAATCTTTAGCCTACGGGGTTCCTGCCAGCATCAAATGAAATAATATTCTTTCTATCTATCTAGGAGTTCCTGATACTTCAATAATGAAAGCAATGTGTAATGTATAAAATGTACAAGGGATAGGCAGAAAATATTATTCTACCAGTATGTTAAAGAAGAGTTTTATCCTCCCAATTTTGAACAGTTATCTCTTTATAGCAAAATACATTTTCATGCTCTTGCCATTTGATGGCTGACAGATGTCTTTCTCACCAGGCTGGTGAGAGGAGTTAAGATTTAGTAGCTGAGACCTGACTGTACACTGATTGGGCGAGCTGAAGTAAACAGTACTGAGCTTTGGGAATGGTGCTTTTAATCAATCATACTTTGGCTCACTAGAAAAAAAAGTAAAACCTCTTTTTAAGGTTTAAAAAATATTAAAACTCTTAAAGTAGTAACCTAACTCCTGTTTCTACTTGTGGGGGTGGTGCCTGTTCTGCCTGTTTCTGTGAGGGAACACATGTGCACATGTATGTCTTTGATTACATGCATGTGTATGTGGAAGCCAGAGGTCAACCTGGAGTATCACTCCTGAGGTGCCACCCACTCTCATTTTGTAGACAGTCTCACATTGGGACCCAGGACTTGCAGATTAGGCTAGCTAGCTAGCAGGGAGCCCTATGGATTCTTCTACCACACCTGGCTTTTACAAGGGTGCTAGGGATCAAACTCCAGTCTTCATGTTTGTATAATAAGCATTTTACTGATGTCCATCTATTACGCTGATGCTGAAAATTGTGTTGCTGAGATGTAACTTTTCTTCCAATAATTAGTTATAATATTACAGTTTGTGGTGAAATGACACAGCAAACCCTTTCCAAATGTAGATAACACAACTGAAGGCATCTTTAATAGCAGCATTTGAGGTAGTAGGTACTAAACACATGACTATGGGTAAGGGAAAATGGCACAAGGAACTAAGTCCGCTTTCTATTTCACCCTGTGAGGTTCTGAGACATGAATTTATTTTAAATGCACTTATTTGTAAATTGTCACATTCAAAACAACAGATATTGTGGGGGAAAGATAGGAAGAAGTATATCTGATTAAAAATAAATCCTCAATGCTCTCTCATGTTCCATAGTGTTCCAATTGCACTGTAGGGTATTTTGAAATACCCTACTCTGTGCGGGTATTTTGAAATAGCTAAAAGGAAGGATTTTGAATGTTATCACCACAAAGAAATGATAAATATATAAGGTGCTAGATGTGGTAAATACCTTGATTTTGTTATTCCTAGTTCCTAGTATATTGAAACATAACCCTATAAACTATTAGCAATTATGTGTAAATTTAGATAAACTACAACACACACAAACCACACACACACACACACACACACAAAACCACACACACATTGAATAGGAGTTGTGTTGACCTGATTGGCCTTGGTTTTCTTTGCAGGCTTATCAATGAATCTTTGAGGGACCAGCTCTTGGTGACAATACAGAAGACCTTCACATACACTCGCACCCAAGCTCAGCACCTGTTCATCATCCTCATGGAATGCATGAAGAAGAAGGAACTGGTATGTCAAACCTGTAGGTGGCAGGGCAGTCTCCATGCCCTCAAATGTTTGCATCATCCTGTTTCCTTTTCTCTCCCGGGCCTTGCTTTCACAGTCCTCCAGAGGTGCCACTGACTGCAGAACTCATGGATTTTTCACTGTTGACTCCAATGAAGTGTGTGTAGTGTTCATAGCCAGGTTTTCCACATTTTTCCTGTTTTCATTTCACCCAAATACTTCAGATTATCTCAAACAAATAAGCCATTAAGAATATAACATTGGTTTCCTCCTGGGAATGTTCATTCCGTTGAGCCTCTCTTAGGGGTGGGATTCCACTTTGCTTGTAAGCTGAGAGTCACTGGGTGTTTCTTGTCACTATATCTTTAGTGACACAGCACCCAAGTTGATACATTAAATAGTACAGATAAATAAATAGATCGAGTATCTCAGAAGCTCTGGAACATCTCTGTGAAGTTACTGTAGTGCTGTCTAGGTGCTGCTTAAAAGTTTCTTTTGTCAGTTCAAAGTGTTCTGGCAGAGTGAAAAGAAACCATGTGAGCCAACACTAAGGAGCCAGGAAAAAGAGCTGAGTCTTCCTGTCTGTTAACACAGGTGATCTTTGCAGCTCTCCCAGTGAGAGTAACAAATGGTACCTTGTACTTAAGGGAGTTGAGACTCACTTGCTGAATAATGAGGAAAGAGATGCAAAACCAGTGATGGTTAGTCACTGCAGGGAGTATTTTCTTTCAGCAGTTGTCTCATCCAAACTGACAGAGTGAATTTCCCATCTGGGAGGAATCCCATCAGGTTCTTAGGTTCTCAAAGGTCAGCTGAGCTGGTAATGAAGTCAACCAAATATTTAAATGAAATAACACATTCAGTAAGCAAAGCATTCTTAGAAGACATCCACATACCCTTGTCAATCAAGGCTTCCAGAAGCTTCCAGACTTGGGATGACAACAGAGAAACTGGAGACACCTGTAATTCCTGAATATCTATATGTTCAAGTGCATACCTTGCCATCTAGTATAGGGAGGCCAAACAAGCAGTTAGAGTCCATGGCCACAAGACCGCCATGCTTGTTGTATGAGACATGAGAATTCTTCTGAGTTCCAATAGTGTTTAGATGCTGAGACCAAAGCTAATGATGAAACCTCACCATGACTGGAATTTTCAGTAGCCTTGAAATTTCCTAGAAAGGCAGTTCTAGCAAACATTCTAAGGAGCCGTTAGAGGTTATAAAACTAAATGATACTGGATGGACTTGTCAAGGTATTTTATGAGACTGTCCTGTAGGATTCTGCTAGATAATTGTCACTTCATCATAAACCCCAAGGAAAAGGTTGAGTGTGTTTCTAGACAAAGGAAATTTATTCTGAGCAAGCAGTAAGTGCTCATCTCTCCACATATGGGCAGAAATGTTAAGGATCCATAAAGTCGTATTTAATTTAAATGATTTTCATTTTTGATGGACAGTGCAGACAGTACTAGATGCTTTACAAATGAGGGGAACAGAGGGTCGTAATTCTTTTTGTCGAAGCAGAGAAGTAAATTGGGGCATCACCTCATTTAGAGGTAAGGCGTCCACATACAATCCGGAAGAGCCAGTTGGGAGGGTCTTGGTGTAAAGTAATCCCAACTCACCAGGCTGCAACACATGGCATACAGAACAAAAAAGACACTGTGGGATGAAATCCCTCTTCCTTCTTATACTTCAGCTGCCCTTTGATTGTCTTTAAAAACCCCATGAGATATAATTTTCTAAGGGAAATCTAACCAATTCAGCTAAAGTTCCCAGTTCTATGGCTAAAGCAACATCATTCTCCTGGCCACAGCCAGTTATCTCACACAGTGAAGAGCAGCACTAGAAACACACATGTAGATGGGTCTATTGATGTTCCCAGTAGGTGAGGCAGCCCTATACATTCTAACACATATGTAGAATGCTGATGGGTCCATTGATGTTTCCAGTAGGCAGGGCAGCCCTGTTGGCATCATCTCAGAGGTACTGTACATTCTACTAGCTTCATATAGTTCTTGAAATTCATTTCTCCTCTGCTTATTCAAAATCTGTCATCTTGTAAGAAAATAATATCCCCCACCCCCACTGAAAACAAGCCTTCCCCAGGAGTGCCAGCTATTTTGCCCTCTGCTCACACATGAATTTTAAAGTTGTATTGCCAACTCTGCATGCATGGACACTACTGGATGGGAATATCAAGTGCACTGACGACTCATCTCCTCATATTCAACAAAGGCCTGCCTTTGAGAGACATCAAGGCCCATCAACTTCCCCATTTGTTTCCCCTCCATCACAAAATATCCTCGTCTATGTTTCTTCCTACTGTATCTGTAACAGAGGAGGGTTATTCTAAGATGATTCTCCCAACATGAGCCTCACATATCCTCACATCATGCATCCTCTGTGATCTTGCTCTAGGAAGGGTACTTGATTTTTTTTAACAATAACCTTCGTTGCACCATCTATGGGGTTTCACCTTTATTCCCACTTTGCCAGTCCTTCAATGGCACCATTTTCCTCTCATCCTTAAGCTTTTATTTCCTTTTCTCTTTTGTCTTCTCTTTTCCTTCCCTTTCTTGTGCTTTTAACCCATTGAAGCCACATCATGTGAAGTTTTTTTTTCCTTGTGTCATTTTTAAGAGAATTTAAAATCTTCTACCCTGGGAGACTGCATCAATTTCTCCTTGAAATTATGTCAAATTTTTCCTTTATGTGTTTTGAGATTGTGTTCCTAGACTAATAAGATTTTACAATTGGCTGTATTTCCTAGCGAATCATTGTCTGCTGTTCTTCAACAACCTTATTCATTCTTAACAATGTCTTGCCTTGCATTTCAGCTCATCTGGTACTAATACAATTAAATCAGTTTCTCTCAATTCATACTTTCCTGGAAATGAAAGTGCCCATGCCCTTTTTTTCCATTTTCAATCTTTCCATTTCTTACTATTAGGTGCATTTTACACGATATATAGCTTTCACTTTTTATAGCTTTCATTTTTAATACCATTTAAATAGAGCTAATATAGTAAGCTTGGCCTATTTGCATATGCTGTGAGCTGTTTGCTCTAAATAAACTTCTACATTTTGTTCAGTCAATGAGTGAGCCTGTAAGGTGAATTTTAATAGTGACCCATTGGATCTATTCAGAAATAAATACATTTTGTTTATGACAATTTTCTCAAAGCATTCATATACTAGATTTTCCCCCATAAAGGCAAAATGTGGCTCCATATTTATGTTGGAAGATAAAAATTAAATAAAAGACTAATGACTTCAAATTCATTTACTGCTGTGTTCAAGATGACTTCCTAGTAATAACTGATTAGGAGTTATTACATGATGGGGATCTGAATAGTATTCATATCTCGAAATCTAGAGGATTATTCAGTTTTCCTACTTTATCACATGATTTTGGATAAAAGCTTCAAGAATTGTAGTAATTACATGAATATTGTTTTTTACTCCTAACCTATATTTTTGAGAATAATATATCTAACCAATGATTTAATTTGGTTTTCAGTTGTATATTGAAGAGCTAGCCAGTTCTCATATGCAACAGTGGTTCTAAACTCAATAAATAGTGAAATGGTATTAGGGGCATTTATCCAGTATATCAAATTAGGACAGACAGGAATGAAAATGAACCAAATTTTCCTTAAACATTATCAGTTAAAAAGCATCTAAGGACTACTGTCCAATCTTGATTAATTTAGGCTATACCCGAGTAAGTGGCTTATAAACCAAGTTCATTGCCCAAAGTTCTGGAAGGTGGTAAATTTCAGAGCAAGGTACCAGAAGACTGGGAATCTGGTAGGGATATTCTCATATATGAGGGCTTCTTGCTGAGCCTCCACAGGATGGCAGGGGCAAGCAAGCTTCTTTGGAACACATTTCTGAGGATGCTAATCCCATTCATGAGGGTGAAGCCTTTGTGACTGAATACATTCACAAGCACCCCACTTTGTGGCACCATCATGTCTGTGACTAAGATTCAATATACAAAATTTGGAGGGCACGTCACAAATATTCAGAGCACAGCAATCATAGAGGCATCTGCTAGTAAACATGGTAAGGGTAGTATGGGGAAGGGCACATTATATCTACCTTTAACTTGGAACATAATGGATACACAATCAGATAAGCTCAACTGATGGGCTAGGTGGATAGTCTACTCATACCAGCTAGAGCTGGAGCACTTCATTGGCATCATAGTCTCCTTTGGGTAGAGTGGGGAAATAAGGCAAGGACATACAAAATGTGCTGATAAGAGGCAGGAAGGGGGCTCAAGAGGGATGTAGCTGTGGTGTTCATGTATGAAGTTCTCCAAAAATAGTGTGCTAATGGAGTAAATGGAAGCAGGGACATTAGATCGCCATTTTGTCTCCTTTTCAGACACTTCTTTGAAGTACTTGGCATTCAATTTCCTCTCCCCTCTCAAACTTCTATGGGTCTAATTTAGACTCTCTGTTTTCCGTTTTCTTTGTACTTCTTAAATTCACTTTCGCTTTCCATTTTCCTGCCCTTTCCTTCCCAGCTCCATAAGCTGATATTTATCGCAGATTGATTGGTGACTCTTTTCCTTTTGTTTGCTGCTATAACTTCTGCTGCAATAAGACTAGGTGTGAATGCACGAATGTCCAGTCTCATCATCTGCATTCTACACCCTCACTCAGACCCATATGCTTCCTTGCACTGACCACCACTACTCCCAAGAAGCCAGGTTGGTGATCCACTCTCCCTACCTATACACTGCATGGATTGGCAAATTTCCACAAAGTAGAGACTATTTAAGGGTTTGCATACCAGGCACACTCTGTATGCCTTTACTCTTCAAAACCATGTAAAACTAAAGTCATTCTGAACAGAAAAACAAGCCATTAACAGAACTTCACCAACAGATGGAGTTGGGCTGACTCCTTGCTGTAATAATGCTAGATTCTCCTTGCCGAAACACAGAGGGAATTGTATTACTCATTTGAATATAAATGATGATGATGTT